TGAGTTCAGGGAGAAAGGATTTAGCCTAAGTTAGAAAGGATTTAGGCCAAGTTAGAAGCCAGGCTTTGTTGGGGGAGCTGTTGACAATGTCTCTGTATGAGTTTTCTCGCCGTGTCGGCTCCCAAAGAAAAGCTTCTATCCATGGTAATCAGGGTTTATTAAAGGAAGCCATGAAAAAAAAGTCTTTAGATGAGATTAAAAGGATTGTGTAGCTGCACTTGGTGCTGAATTGCTCTGTGCTGGCTCCAGCTCTGGGCGTCTGCCTCGTCAGCATCCCGGGAAATGAATGGCTGTGCCTGAGTGCAGCAAAAGTAAACAGAGGAGCGTGCTGCCTGATTAGTGCTGGGCCTCATTAACCACCCAGCCTGTGCCATTGGAATTGTCCCTGAGTCCTGGGTGCTCTTGGCTTCCTCCAGCCAGGTGCTGCCTGCTGGAGAACTCCCTAAGTCCATCCCACCAGCCATGGGACTCCAGCGTTGTGCCAGACCCACTGTACAGAACCACATGGTGGGGTTTTCTTCCCCTCCCAGTGCTGTTTTTCAGCACTTTTTTTTTTTTTTTTGGCGTGTTCTAGGTTTTGATATGTGTTTTTGATCTGGAGCCCCTGGCTGGAGCTGGAGCCAGGGTGGGATTTCTTCCATGCCTTTTTGTATCCAGGCTCTCCCATATGATTCCACTCATGTGCTGCTGACCTTGTGGTGTCCCTGCTGCCAACGAGTGACCGTGGCAGGGGACCTGGTGATGTGACTCTGTTTGCCACCTTTGGTGGCAGGAGGGTTGTTTGTGTGTGTGAGTGAAATGGGGAGATGCTGTTGTCTCCTGTGTTCACCCAGTGACATGTTCCTTTCAGGAGCTGTCATTGGAGTGGGGTGGATTTGTGCCAGCCTCTAGTACAGGCACACGACCACGGCTTCTGTGAGGTTGTCAGTCAAAACCTGAATGTCCCACTTCTCTCTTTCCCTGCACACTTCTCCCAAGTCCTTTCCTTCCTCTCAGATGACAGATCAGTCCTTTGTGTCCTCTTTATTCCTGATTTATTCCTACCTCCTTATCCATAGCTCTTCCTTCTTGACTTTGTCCCCTTGAAACCTGCTGCATTTTGAGGATATATTTATCATTCCCTAACTTTCCCATTTAATAACCAGAGTTACAAGAAGTTTGGAAAGTTTATCCCTCTTAGGTTTTTTCACATCCAGACTTTTCTTGTCTAGGTGCCTCACCTATTTACCACGGAGCTGCATGTTGTGGAGCCTTGGGATTGTGTCCTGGAGAGCCCTGAGCAGAATTCTCTAACTCAGTGATCTCTACCCTTTGCTAGAAATGACCAATAACACTACAAAACTAACCACACTGTGGGGCAGCATCCTAACTTGCTGTCCTTCAGGAGGAAAACAGTTCTTAACCCAAACTCTGGGAATTCAAGGCATCCTATGGGGAATGTGCTATTTGCAAGCCATGAAGTTGAGCCTCCAGTTCCACAGGCAAGAGAGTGTGGTGTGAGACCTTCTGTGGGAGCTGACTCTGAAACCTTCCTCTGACCATGGAAGGAACCCTGTCTGAAGGAGCTGAATTTGCTGTGTTACCATCCCAGGGACCTTGAATGTGCTGGTGAAGAGGCTGCTGTGGCAGGAGCCACGTGGAGGGATGATCTCATCTCACACATGAACCCTACGTGGTGGGTCATGGCATCCCTGGTGGAAAAGGCCGGTGAGCCTGGTCATTGTGGGAAGGCAGTTTGGGCTTATTTTGGAAATACCCAGCTCAGAACCTCAGCCCAGACCTCCCTGCCTGCTGGCTGAGGCCTTTTGTTTACGTGCTTTGTTTTTAGAATGTAATTAACTCGCTTGTAATTTGAGCAGCCTAAGAGGCTGAGTATGTCTGTGCCACTGGACTACTTGTCTTCCCAGCTGCTGTGATTTCTGCTATCCAGAAATGGGGTGATTCTCCTCAGTGCATCCTCTCAGGGGTAGTACAAAACCTGCTCTATTCTGCAAGCTAAACATCCAGGCCTCCTTGCCCCTGACCTCTGCTGTTATTTATTAGTTGAGCCAAATTATAAATCGTAGCTCTAAGAGGCTCAAGGGCTGAGGGTGCAGGGCAAATAGCACAAGCAGATGGAAATATGCAGAGGGAAAATTCTGCTCCCTGGGCTGCTCAGGTGGCTGATGGAAAATGGAAAGACAGCCCAAGAGTCCTGCTCTCCCTGCTTTGTCCCAAAATGCTGCTCCTGTGTGTGCTTGGTGGCTATTGGTGCTCTCAGACTATTGATACCCTTTTCTCTCCAGGTGAGCATCTTCCTCCATCAGGTTCAGTATTTTTGAAGTGCCTTTGTCTGCTACTAAAGGGGCTCCTCATCCAGCCTTCCTGGAGTTTCTCACTGGGGTCTCTGGTTTCCAGGTCAAATTTGCTGTCTTTCCCTGGAACAATCACAGAATGGTTTGGGTTGGAAGGCATCAAGAAGGTTTTCCTCACCATTCCCTTCCTCTACAAGTTACAGTCTCACCTTCAAACGATTCTCACCTACTTGGGCCTGGAAGACTTCATGTCTGGAGTGTGTCTCTTCTGATTCTGTGTTGGCTCTTTGCTTTAATGGGCAGATTTCCTCCTGTTGTTGCAGGTGCTGTGGTCCTGATGCTGTGATGACCTTTGGGCAGAGGGTTCCTCTTGGAGAGAGGGGCTGTTTGTTACCTCTTCAGTCTCTGGGTCATGACAGTTCCCATTTCCCTGCCCTGCAGCTCTGCTGGCTCTGTAGAGCAAAATATAGCAAAATATTGGGGTAAAAAAGTATCTTTTTAGTACTTGAAAAGAATAATTTCTTCCTAGATCTGTCCAGTTCCTGATCAAGCCAGTGTGTTAGAAATATGGATCATAACTCATAAGTGACAGGAGCTGGTGTTCAGGGTCACCACGGGATGTTTCTGAACACAGGACTCAAACAGGGACAGCTTCCCTCTTCTACTGCTCTCCCAAGGAGGGGCTCTTTGGAAAGAGGAGTGGCTGTGTGGGGAGAGCTCATCCCACCCCTGCTCTATCTACCATATTAAAGGTTATTAAAAGCCTACGTGACCAGCCTGCCTGTCCCTGCAGAGCCTGCAAGAGAGTCTTGCAAACTCTGCAGTATAAGCTTGATTTTATTAAATATTTGCTTGACCAGAAAGGCAGAGCAGAACAGGGTAAACATGCCTAAAGTAAATGTGGGATGACCTTTGTCCGTCATCCATCCAGTGCCTGCGGCTGCTGCGGCTGGGAGGGCAGGGGGAGGTGAAGGTGATCATACAACAGCTTTGAAATTCTGGCTGCTGCGAGAATTTTGAAATATTTGGGGTGGCATAAAAGTGGTGGCTGCTCTACAGGCCCAGACTTACCCTTTTCCGCTATCAGATCTAATCAGCCTACAGGTCAAAAGAATGAGGGATTTATTCTCTCTGTTATTTCTTGAAGGAAATTTTTCAGTCCCGCTGGCGTTGGCAGAGCTGCATAGAAGTGAAAAAGCTGCAAATCCAGACCTGTGTCACATCTTCCTCCCTGCTGGGATCTGCAAACAGTGATTTTTTTTTTTTTTCCTTACCTCCTCCTTGTGCCAGCCTGGCTGTCATCACTGGCTATGCTCCTGATTTCAGCAAAGTCACTCTGTGACAGAGGTGATGGGACACTGGCCTGCAGGAGCAGGGCTGGGGCTTGCCTTGTGGTCTTTTTAAGATTGAGGACAAGTTTGTGAAGTTCTGATTTGGATGATAAAGAGGGATGAAGGGTCTGTCCACCACTGATGAGAGCTGTGGGGTCAGCACTCACTGAGTAGCTTGGCTTGTGAGGCCTGAGGTGGTAGAACTCCATCTCCCACGGGTTCTGTGGGGCCATTAAAAGCCAAAGCTGTTCTAGGTGCAGAAGCAACCAAAGAAGTGAAGGGAAAGGGATGAGATGGATGTGGTGAGCAGGAAGATGTGTTTCCATGGGGCACGGTGATGTGCTCAGCAGATTACTATGTTTGAATCCCATCCTGATCTCACACTCTGTTAAAACCTGGGTTTTAAGAGACTGAGTGGTGCAAGGAATCCCTCATCCCTCTCTGTGGAAAATCACCAGGCTGGTCCTTGGGTCATTAGTTTTCCCACTTCACGGCCCTTTAGACTTTATTACTGCTAATAGGTAGGTAACACCTTTCTCCTCAGTCACCTGAGATTCCCAGGGGAGCTGTATCTCTCTCCAGGATGATGTTTTCTTGGCTGTGAAGTGAGTGGAGAGTGGTCTCGTGGTGAGAGCCCAGGGGAAGGAGGAGACCCAGCGCTCAGCTCGCTCCGTGCTTGGCCACCTGCCCTTCGTAGATGTGGCTGTGACAGCTGGCACACCACAGCTCCTGTGTCTGTACTCCAGGCTGGACCAGCACGAGGCAGCTTTGATCTGGAAGCCACAGAGATCCTGTTCAAACAGGACCATCCCGGACCAAGGTCTCCCTGGAAGGATGGTAATGTCAGACCAGGGCTGGCTTCTCCCCAGCAAACTCCAAGGGCTGCAGAAGAGCTCAGCATCCATCTGGACCTGTCCCTGCAGGCAGGCCCCTGACCTTCTCTAGGCTTCAGTCCCTCATCCAGAAGAGCAGGATAATAATCCTTCTCCAACTCTGGTGTCTCAGATAGCAAATACACAGTTGGGCTGACATTGGCAGTGCAAACAGCAAAGCTGGTTGATGTTCCTACCGTGAGCCTTCTGCACCTCTCCGGCTTCCAGGGAATATTTGTGCTGCGCCGTGGGGCTCGTGTGTGTGTGATGGAGAGCAAAAGGGTGCTGATTTATGACTCTGCTGTGTGATTTCTGCTCTTTCTACCAGCATCTTTTCTTTCAGGAGGGCTCCCTTTGTGTTGGTTTTAAGTAGAGAGCTCAGAGTCGAGAAAGGGAGGATTAGCAATTAAATAAGCTCTGATGATGGCATGGCTGTGAAGGGGGGAGGAGGAAGGAATACTCCATAGTAATGTACTTTTGTTTTCTTTTTGCTTTGCTTGTAGGACAAAATCTGCCGGGGAATTGGTGTTTTGAAGACTTTCACGGCTTTTAATCCTGTTCCCTTGGGAATACAAACCTCTCTAATCATGTCACCGGCCATGTGGAAATGGACTTGCCTGGTTTCTCACCTCCTGCTGTCCACCACAGTGTCACCTCTTGCCAGGCAGCAGCCACTCCATCCAAAGAGGCCCTTCATCACCTTCACTGGAGAACAATCAGAGGGAAACTTCAACCACTTGGTGGTTGACGAAAGAACGGGGCACATTTACTTGGGGGCCGTCAACAGGATCTACAAACTCTCCAGTGACCTGAAGGTCCTGGTGACCCACGAGACAGGTCCTGATGATGACAATCCCAAGTGTTATCCACCCAGGATAGTCCAAACCTGCAACGAACCCCTGACACCCACCAACAACATAAACAAAATGCTCCTCATAGACTACAAGGAGAACCGGTTGATAGCCTGTGGGAGTCTGTACCAGGGCATCTGCAAGCTGCTGAGGCTGGATGACCTCTTCAAGCTCGGGGAGCCCTTCCACAAGAAGGAGCATTACCTCTCTGGGGTGAATGAGAGTGGCTCTGTTTTTGGAGTCATTGTTTCTTACAGCAACATGGATGACAAGCTGTTCATTGCCACCGCCGTGGACGGCAAACCGGAGTATTTCCCCACGATTTCCAGCAGGAAGCTCACCAAGAACTCCGAGGCGGATGGGATGTTTGCATACGTCTTTCATGATGAGTTTGTGGCCTCTATGATCAAGATCCCCTCAGACACCTTTACCATCATCCCTGACTTCGATATCTACTACATTTATGGCTTCAGCAGCGGGAACTTTGTCTACTTCCTGACTCTGCAGCCTGAGATGATCTCGCCGCCTGGCTCCACCACGAAGGAGCAGGTTTACACCTCCAAGCTGGTCCGGCTTTGTAAGGAGGACACAGCCTTTAACTCCTATGTGGAGGTGCCCATCGGCTGTGAGAAGAACGGGGTGGAATACAGATTGCTCCAGGCAGCCTACTTGTCTAAGGCTGGAGCCATCTTAGCCAGGTCTTTGGAGGTTGGCCCTGAGGATGATATCCTCTTCACAGTCTTCTCCAAGGGGCAGAAAAGGAAGATGAAGTCCTTGGATGAGTCTGCTCTTTGCATCTTTGTCCTGAAAAAGATCAACGACCGCATCAAGGACAGACTGCAGTCCTGCTACAGGGGAGAGGGGACCTTAGATCTGGCCTGGCTCAAAGTCAAGGACATTCCCTGTAGCAGCGCGGTAAGTGAAGCCCCTGAGCACCCAACCTTTACCTCCTCGTGCGCTCACAGGTCTTGTCTTCAGCTTACCCAGTTTCTCAACCGTTAAAACAGGGACCAAAGAACTGGGACTGCCTTGTCCCGGTCCTGGCTCTGCCTCCAGCTCACCACACCCCTAATTTAACCAGTTCATACCTCAGTTTGCTTGTGGACAAGCTGATGAAGGTATCATCAGACGTGCTGTGTTTGGTGATGAGCTAAACCAAGAGGCCTTGAATTCTTCAGGAGGAATTTACCTGTTCTAATTACTTCACTGTGCAAATCATAGGGGTGAAATAATTATGACCCAAAACACAATTTTGGCTCAAACCTAAACCAGAACCAGGGCCTGGAGAGTGTCAACGGCTTGTGCCGGTTTCTGTGTGCACTGGTGTAATTTAATTTCCCGGGGCTGGAGTTGGAGCAGGATTTATTTAGGGAGCTTTGTGAAGCCGGGGCTTCATTTCTTCTAGGGCTGAGGAGCACTGGTCATTAACCATCAAAGCCCCTCTCCTTCCGCTCTCCAGCCAGCTCTGCCGTCGCCTCTGCTCTGAAAAATTAAGGCCTGGCTGCAGATCAAGGATTAAATACTGCAAGATTTAAGGGCAGGATTGGGGAAGAGGCTGGTCGGGCTGACCTACAGATGGTCTGAGGAAATTGTCTTGGTTTGTTCTGCCGGTTCACTCGAGTGTCATTGCAGGAATGTGCCTCAGCCCCTCCAGCCCAGGGGTGGCTTTGATAGCGGGCACAGACATGGGCATTAGGGCCGGCTCGGAGCCGGGCTGGAAGAGCTGCTTCTCCGGGCTTTGATTCCCGGCCTTAATTAGCTCTTTCAAGTGAGAGGCAAGTTCAAGTCTGAGCAAAGGGAATATGAGGAACACCAGAGTGCTTTCCTGCCCCGTAATCTCAAGGCAGGCAGGGCTCGGGATGTGGGATTGCTCCAGCTCTCCTTTGTGCTCAAGCCTCCTTTGCTGGGGGATTCCTGCTGCTCCTCCTTGGCAGGACAAAGGATGGACCACAAGGAATGCAGGTGGGAATTTCATTGCAGGGGGGGCTGATCCTGCCTTACTCTGCCTTAATTCCCCTTTACACCAGTGCCCTCAGTGTCCTAGCTTGACCTTGCACTTCATCCTCCCACACTGAATCTGTGGAGGGACAAGTCCTTCATATTAGTTGGGATCTCTTCTGCCTGGACCCGTAAAGCTCCCCATGGAGTGTTGCACAGGGAGAAAGATTGTGGCCCAAATCTGGCTTTGATTTTTTTTTTGTTTAGCTGCAAGGCCTCTGCACATTCAAAGAGCTGCCTTTAGATTTAAGCTGGGAGCTTCCCACTGGAGTTTCTTTCCTGGGCTGTTAAGCCTCTCCATGCATTTGCATATCTGCTCTGCTTGTGCTCCGTACTAACGTTTGCAGTGTTGGGCCTCTCAAATTAGGAGGTTTGAAACCTCTCAGTCCTGGTTTCTGTGGCTTTAGACAGGAGCAAAAAGGCCAACAGCACTCTTGTGTCCCTTGGGGTGAGTCCCAAAACAAGAAGACTGATGTCTCAGACTGAATTTGAAAGGACCAGACTGCAGAAGGGGGAGAGAGGACAAGGAGCCAGGGGCTGGGTGACACAGTGGGGAAAAAAAAAAATGTTAGAGCATATTTGTGAGTGCATTTCTTCCCTGTGAATCAGAGATGCTAATGCTAAGCTGGGAAAGAACCTGGAGATGCTTGAATTAAAAGAAGGGAGTCTGAAGAGTGTAACTAAGTAGGCTGTCCTCTCCTTAAATGAGCCTACTTAGAGCTGCTGGCAAGCCCTGCCTGAGATCAGCTGTGCTGCCCGAGGGAAGAGGTATTAGTGACTTGGCTGCTGCAAGAGGTTGCAGAGTCCAGCAGCTAAGCTTGGAAAATATTTGATGGTTGGGGAAGTATTCTGGAGCCTGGATGTGTGTCTGTGAGGGCCCTGTCTCCTTTGCTGATGTCCTGTTGCCAACCAGCCCCCAGCGCTGCTGCTCTGCCTCTCAGCACATGTGTTCGGAGCAGCCCTAAAACCAATTACAAGGCCATCAGGGAGACTTTTCCCTGGTTTTGTGTGGATGTCAAATGTTTCCCTGCCGGTGCAAATAGAGGCTTAACCTTCCTGCCATGCAGGCTGGAGGTGAACTTCAGCTTTGCTGCCCTGCCTTCAGCAGCCGAAATCCTGCACGTGAACGGGTACACAGCTGATGTGCCTGGCACTGAGCATTTTAAATTAAGAGAGGAGAAATTTGCGTTAGATTTTAGGAAGAAGTTCTTTACACAGAGAGTAGTGAGGCCCCGGCACGGGTTGACCAGCAAAGCTGTGGCTGCTCCATCCCTGGAAGTGTTCAAGGTTGGACAGGGCTTGGAGCAACCTGAGATAGTGGGAGGTGTCCCTGCCCATGGCAGGGGGTGGAATGAGATGAGCTTTAAGGTCCCTCCCAACTAAAACCATTCTATTATTCCATGAATCTTTGTGGTATTAATTGCAGGGTTATGGAGCTGGATTCACTGCACCATCCTCACCTCTTGTGCATGGTCAGGTCTGGCTTTTAGTAACAAACTTTCTTTTATTTTTTCTAATATTTCTGAGAGAGCAATAACTGATTCAAAGGGGATCCACATTTTATGATTCTTCTGCTCCTGCCTTGATGTAATGCTCGCTCAGGGCGATTTCAGAACAAGAGAAATCTCTTGGGGACCAATCCCAGCACAGCTCTCCTAATCTGCAATATGCACACAAATAATTACAGGGAGGTGGGAGAAGAGTCTCTTGGCCCTGCTGCTAGTAGAGTCTGTACCTTCTCTAGTCAGGCAGCTTGGTTGCAGATGGATCTGGGAGATTTGAGGTCAGGTAGGCCCTTGGCAAGCTGGGCTGGACAAATTGTGTCTCATGGTCAACATGCAGCAGGAGGATTTGGGTTCCCAGATGTCCTGCAAGGCTGGATGTCCTGGAAACTTGCCCTGATCTGGTTTGCAAACACAACATGAGGGCAAAGATGGAGAGGCAACTGTGTAATGAGCCCATGATTACCCTGTGCCAAGTTCTTGTGCTTGTTGCAGATGTTGGTAGTGTGATAGAAGCATTTCCAGAACAGGAAATGCAAATATCCAGAGATGAGTGGAGAATCCTCAATGTTCATTCCTCTCCTATCCTTATGTTACAGCTGTCCTCCTTGTAATCTTCAGCATAGATCGGGAAAAAAAAGATAGATTTTTATGTCTGGGCAGCTGATTTGCAAATTGGTGATGTTCACTCAGGTGATAAATGGTTTAGGTAATACCTCTCTGCAAATGCAGGATAATAGCTAATGTTTAAAGAGTGCACTTGACCCCAAACGCTTAGAAATTCATATAATCAGAGAAAAACGAGGCTGGGAAAAAAATAATAAAAAAAAAAGATTCTTATGAGGTCATCTGATTTGCCCTTCTGCCCTACTTAAAACATTCCTGACAGATGTTTGTCTCACCTGTTCTTAACCTCCGGCAACGGAGGTTCCTCTCTCTCTGCTCGATCTGCCTGCGCTGTGGGGAAGCTTTCCCTCATTCAAATCCAAATCTCCTCTCTGGATACTGAAGCCATCCCTGCTTATACAGTCAGAGGGCACCTTCAAAGCCTCTGACACACGAGGCTCTTGTTATACAGTCATGGAAAAGCGACCACTGCAGTGTGGTTGGTGCAGGAACGCGTGGAGCGGTGGGAGAGGGGCTGTAGGGGACACACAGGGTGTTGGAGGAAGGAAGGGCTGTTGTCAAGGGGAAAATGGGCTTCTTAAAGCAGGAAACAAACTTATGATGGGCTCAGAAGGCTGTGGTTTAAATAGGCTTCGTGAACTTTGTAACTGAGCAACCTGCTCTAGTGGAAGGTGTCCCTGCCTTTGGTGGGGGGGTTGGAATGAGATGATTTTTAAGGTCTCTTCCAACCTAAAGACAAGAGGGCATGGTCTCAAGCTCTGCCAGGGGAGGTTTAGGTTGGATATTAGGAAGAAATTCTTTACAGAGAGGGCAATCAGCCATTGGAATGGGCTGTCCAGGGAGGTGGTGGATTCTCCATCCCTGGCATTTAAGCTATTTAAGAAGAGACTGGATGTGGCACTTAGTGACAATGTCTAGTAACTGTGGTGGTTGTAGATCAAGGGTTGGACTTGATGATCTCAGAGGTCCTTTCCAACCTGTCTGATTCTATGATTCTATGATTCTATGATTCTGTGATTCCGTGATTCCATTATATAGTTGGTGTACAATGGATTTCTTAAAAAACCCCAAACCAAACCAAACCATGGTATGAGAGGAGGATGGAGATATAAATGTGCCCTTTCTGTACAGGAATTGATCATTGGAGGGGGGAGATTTTTTTGATTTTCATTATTATGAAATAGGATTAATAGGTGCATTTTGAAGCCCAGTGAGAATTCCATTACTGGGCACAAACTGAGGCTTCCCCTCTACCTTGGGGAGCAAGCAGGTGAATGGCTGTGTGGGACATACAAACATGGATAGAGAAGAGGAGAGTATTAGAGACTGACCCCAAAAGCAGCTCAAGGGTGCCAGGGGAGATGGAGAGGAGAGGGAATCCTTGCTGGACCTTTGGCTTGCAGCAGAGCCCCAAACACAGTGTGCTGTTGGCACGTGCTCCTGGCTGTCAGCTCGGGAGCTGGTTGCCTCCCAGGGCTGCTCTCCTGGGAGATCCTGGTCCCCTCATCAGCCTGATGGGTCTTGCAGCATCACCTGCTGCTCTGCAGCCTAACAGACTCCAGTCCCTGAGATGAAGAGGTGTCACCTCCATCGCTGCAGCTTTCACCGGATACGCAGCACAAATATCTGCCCGAGATAATCAAAGTGTCTGTCCCCAACTATCTCCTGCCTTCTGCCGGTATTTTCTTTTCCTTTTGGCAGGAAATGGGGTTTGACTGTTTAAATTACTGCATTCAATCTCTTCCTGTTTTTCATGGCAGCGCTGTCACTTGGGGGAGAAATGAAATG